GCGCACGAGATTGCCGGGTTATAGCGAAGGTTGGCAGTCAGCTCTACGTACTCTTTCTTGTTTTTCGCTAGACGAAATATATCGGCAGCACTCGCGATTCCCGTCGATTCTCGGAATTTGCGTATACACGACTTTCTTCTGCGACCAACCCCTCTTCTTCCGGCAACCTTACCCATCATGATGACCTGATAAAGTGCATATCATGCATAAGCACTTGTCCAAGATATGACAATTTTCTCTTTTTAACGGTCTCCGAAAGTTGCCGTTTCTGGTAGACACGTCGCAGAACTTCCTCATACGAGACGCTCTGAGTCTAACTTATGGTCAACATTGGCCTATATCATCTAGAAAGCTTCTATGCCTTTTTGAGGTCTTATATAATTTTCCATGCCTCCCATTCATACAGAAGTATAGGCCAGATGTAACACATGTAAAGGAGTCTTATGCACAACTGAATTTTGAGTCTGCGATTGCAGAGTACTTATTTTAACTTGCAGAAGGCACTAAAAGCTATTTTTATGCGAGTCTTTACCTATTCTTCACAGGTTCAGGTGTCATTGAGGTTATCTATATTTGTATTTAATTTAGGTACGCAATGAACAGAACTAGAACAAGCAACAGAGAGCCTAGTGTGAGTGTATTTAACACCTACTTAATCGTCACGGCTACCGCGTTCGGTGTTTCGATTGGCCCGTGCTGAAATTTTCACTAATCAAAACTCCGAAAGCGCTCGCAGTTGAGAGTGAGCTGATGTGAAATAAACTCACACTGGGCTCTATATATGTACACAAAACTTCCCAATAACAATCGTTGGACATGATTGCTGGACTATATAATCTTAAGTGCCTACTGAATGTATTGAGTCCGTGTGGTGACGGGTTAAGAATATGGAGTATCACTACCACCCCCTAGTGTCGTAAGAGCCAACTAAGGGAGCAAACTATGCAGAGCAACAGCACGGCAAAAAGAAAAAAAACTTGATACACAACCCTACACCAACCTGTCTGGCCAGCGTGGTATAGTAAGCCAAAACCTCGTTCCTAAGGAGAGGCCTATGTCCAGCAGTGGACTGTTAAAGGCTGTTGATGATGATGACTGAATGTATTTTCTACGCAGACTAATTTGATTGTGTGATAATCACATTAATCACGCAAGTTATTGTCCCCAAGAGTTCGATGGCGGCTTAAACAAATAAAAATGGCAACAGTTTGTTAATTAAGTGTTCTTAAAACCCCCCTCTCAACGGGATTTTTAATTCATTTCACATTTATGAGAATACAAAAAACAGAACAGTTTTATACGTCAGAAACAGTTTATAAATACTGTTAACTGAATTTATCTTCTTTACAAAACAAAGGCGTATAATGCCTTACATTCTCACCGAAATTCACGAAATAGCGCTCCTTTGAATATAATTTAGAGCAGCTTGTAATTATTTTGATACGAATCTAAGATAGATGTACTAACTACGAAATATTTTATGTGCTTAGAAACGGTTCCATCGAACAATTATTTTTTGATATTGACAAAAAAGATTCATAGCAGATTTATCTTTCCTTTACAAATGGAACAAACAGGGAATGGGACTAACTGCGATTGGTACTCTTCCTCCGAGCCTTTTTCTCAAACTAGATCGGGTCTTTTTCTCAAACGCAAAGTACAAATTAATTAACACTCATAAATAATTATTGTATGAGTTGGTTATTCAAAAATAATACAAATAACCTCACACATCTCACACACGGCCGTCTGATCCCAAAGTAGGCAGAGCCAGTGCTATGGTAACGAGACTTCTGATAAATTTACTTAAATATTTCTAAATACAAACTAAAGTATAGGTAAATTGGACACAGAACAAAAAACGATAGTGCTCATCACACAATTATTTTTCCTGGGTGAGAATCAAACCCACGATCTCTGGCCTAGCACTAACCACTAGACACCACCAGGCCCGTCATATACTCAGACTGTAAGAAGATTTGTAATCTGTGAAGTCGGTTAAGAATAAAAACAAAATTAAGTACATTCTAGTTTATTTTTTATTTAATACAAGATTTTATATCACTAGGAGCATCTAAATAACGATCTCTTTTTCTTTTATTCTATTATCTCCTTCTAACTTATGTGTGCCTCTACAACGGGTTATTAAACTTTAAATAATTTTAAAAACTATTCTTTTGATACCTAACTCGTTTTCTAACAGAACTGCACTTAAAAATTTAACATCCTTTGAATATTAATAATTATAATCTTAGTTTATGCTAATGTCTATAACGGTTTAAACATTATGTCAATGTGTATGTTTAAAATATTAAATTATATTAAAATACAAACATGTGAAAAAAACTTTGCAGTATAATGGAGGTACGTTCTGCAAAGAGAATGATGGGTAAGGGTGTATCTACACGGTACAAGTAGGTACGAATCGCTGGAACCGCATAGTAACTCAACATGCGCAAGCTATTTGCATCGTGTAGAAGCACCCTTAGGATTATTTTAAGTTGCAATTTACAATAATTGGAACGAAGTTCCTTATCGCGCGTTACACGCTCTGAGCGGATGTGAAAAATGTGTAACAAGACTTTTTTCCGACACCTCAGTTGACGCGACAACGCTCACTTTTCTTTCATAGTTCATATTTATAATAAACTCTGTAAACGTCTACCAAAATGCGAAAGGAACTTCGTTCAGACCGGGGGTCCAAAGAACCCTTACGCCGCTTTTCTTTCTACCTCTTTAAAGTAATGTGATTTTGGTATCTTAGTAAAGTAAATGACGCTTTTTGTTATGGTATGGGAGTAAACGAGTCCTCGCTGACCTAATATTGGTCACGATCACAGAACAGAAAAAATATATTACATGGCTTTATTTCTGTTCTGAGGTCAGGCTAGTGCAACTGTACCTATAATAAAAGTGCATACTTAAATATTGCTAAATATACATACATAATTCTAAATAAAATACACCCAGGCCCAGAATAAATGACCATGCTCATCACACAATTATTTGTCCTGGGTGAGAATCGAACCCCGGCTTAGCAGTCAGCATCACTCATTGAACCAACAGGCCCGTCAAGGCAAAGCAAATTATCTATCTAAGCAGAGTGCCACTTTAAGCTACCTAGTGTAGTAATTCGATATTTTTAAATATTGTTTACATCTGACACACAACGCCATCTAGTTTCAAACTAAGCAGAGCTTGTACTATGAAAGCTAGATTGACTGATGGTATACTTATATACTTTTTTTTTTAAATGCATACATATTATATATAGAAAACACACAAACAAAACAAAACAAATATTTTCAGGTTCTACAAACATTTGGTCCGACCCGGGAATAGAAAAATCTTACGAGATATACCTCATCTTCAAAGGCCTAAGGAGAGATGACGTCATCAGGCCAACATTCCTTACGTAAAATCATAACTGGACTGAACAAAAGTGTTGCTAAGTAGAAAATTGGTTGTAAATGATTTTTTAATATTTCCTTGGTTATGGCAGCCGAGCGTGAATCAAAGTGGTTCAAAGTTATAAATCAATTATAGTAAATATATGCCTAAATATTAATAAAACTGTCTGTTTGTAGCAATGTGAATATTATGAATATACAGCACAGCAGAATATATATGAATATTATGAGCATACAGTAAAATAAAATTTACTTCAGCGCCGTCTAACGAAGACATACCGAACAAACTTACTAACTGCTAATCCTGTACCGCGATGTGAAAAGTTCTCACGTCGATGAGCATGTTATATACAAATTTTTGCCAGCTAGCCAGGCATGATCACCTCGCCTGGTCGAAGGATCCTCTCTTTCTGTTAGAGAAGTATAAAGCTCGTTTTTTCACATAACAATAAATGAAATTATAACAATACTTTTAAAGTTTCGCGTTTTATGCTATGTAATTATAGATAGGAAGCCTAGCAACTTATGACTTTAACTGTAATTCTTTAGATTTTATACCTTAACAAGTCTACACATTTACTGCTACTAGTTATTTAATGCTTAACAACAGTTTGCTTAACAATCGTTTTTTGTGAGGCAATGGTATCACTCCGGTCGAGCCAAATCATGGCTCTCCCACGGTAAAATACTTTATCCACCTTTTCTCTTCCACTCCTATTCTTTATATCTTTGATAAAAAATTGCCAGGTTGACGGGAATAGCCTTGGACCCTATTATGTGTGTTGGACTAATTTAGTTAAGTATTATAAATATTGGGCAAAATATTTACTTTTATGGAGCTTGTGTCCCAGAAATCAGAAGCTTATTCTGCTTTCTGAGACCCAGGCATGATTGTATGTAAAGACAAAAATATAATAACTTTTTAAATTTGTTATTTCAAACGGGCGCATCCACGGTTCCGAAGCTGTATACCAAACGATCAACCTGCTCGATTAACAAACTTAAAGGTTCACATGAGACGCCAAGGAAGTGTTGTCTGGGCATCGAACCATGACACAAAGGCACACCCAGCCATTTGCGCCATAATATTTGCAAAACTAAAACTGTGTGGACGTGTGTCTTTGCCAAACATTGAAAAAGAATTTAAAAAAAATCGCATTATCTGTACCCCGTGTGAAAACGGCGGAAGAATTTCAAATTTTGAAATCGTTTCTCGGTATTACTATTAACTTGTCTCTTTTGCTCCTACAGCTCTTGCACATAGTGAAAGAGATAGCTAAAATTTGTTAACCTGTCGTGAGATTTTCTAGAGTACCACAAGATTGTTGTTTATTTGTGTTGAATATAATTCGTATTCCATTGACGTTTTTGCCAACGTGTCATGAATTAACGTTCTTATAAAAAATGCAATGGAACACGTGTAATAAGATTTTTGTGTAATTTTCAGTACCGGTTATCTAATTGAATCACATTTAAATAAGTACAATACAAAATTAAAATCTAAAAATAAGTGCAATATTTCAATGAACTTTATAAATAAAATGGCAGTATTTGTTTAAAGTGAGAATGTTACTTTGTTTATTAGTTAAAATGTTGAACATACTAGTTTTATGCCCGGTTTTGCTTGCTGCTGCTGTTCAAACACTTACGATAGACTCTCAACTTGGAACATCTATCGAAGGTAAGTTCTTTCTTTCTACTACAAAACAGTCGCCTTGCGTAACTTACCATTGGATTAAAGAGTTTTAACCCAGTGTTGCTAACTTTACGCTTTTCCACAAAACATGGGAGGAAAATACATAAGTAACAGTAATTTCAGGATGGGTAAATGATTAGAAGCCTTTTAAAAATGACACACAAATTAGTAAACTTCAAACTAAAAGAGTATATTTTAAAGAAATAACAGAGACCTATGTAACTCCGTTTGTTATCACCCGGTTAGGGTGAACTATTTATCAGTGTGGTGACGTATTAAGAATACGGAGTGTCACCACGTCTATTCATCCCGCGGGTGTCGTAAGAGCCGACTAAGGGAGCAAACTACACATGACAGCAGCCGGACACAGACAAAACCCTAAACCCACCTGTCTACCCAGCGTGGTACAGTAGGCCAAAACCTCCTGTCTAAGGAAAGGCCTAAGTCCAACAGAGGACTATTAAAGGCCTTTATTGTGATGTGTGATGTGAGGGTGAACTGTATTGAGAGGCAACACTATTTGTGTATAAAGAAATAATAAATATTAAAATATCCAATTTCATTTCTACGTCTGGCCAGCGCGCTATAGTAGGCCAAAACCTCCTTTCTAAGGAGAGGCTTATGTCCAGCAGTGGACTGTTAAAGGTTGTTGATGATGATGAATTATATTTAATAATAATGTAATACAATAGAAAATATAAAAAAATGAAAAAGTGGACCGCTTGCCCAATGAAAGGGATTGCAGAGAGGTGTTTAAATATGCATTGTTATTGTATCAAGAAGATTTTAAAGTTATTAAGAAAATAGACGAAAGTTGACCATTCTATTTCCTTGCCCGCTACCTCCAAAATTACTGAGCCAAAAATTGTTACTCATGACGGGCTTGTTGGTTTAGTGGTTAGTGACCCTGACTGCTAGCCGGAGGTCGTGGGTTCGATTCTCACTCAGGATAAATAATTGTGTGATGAGCACGATGATTTATTCTGTGTTTGGGTGTAATTTATCTATGATATGTTTGTATTTTGAAATATATAAGTATGTTTATCAGCAGTCTGGTTACCATAGCACAGGCTCTGCCTAGTTTGGAATCAGACAGCCGTGTGTGAGATGTGTGAAGTTATTATTATTATCATGGAAAAGTATGTTTCCTTAACTGTAAACACAACACTGTAAATCTCTAAACATTATGCGTACTACCTTACAATTTACTACTATTATCATCATCATCATCAACAGCCTTTAATAGTCCACTGCTGAACATAGGCCTCTTCTTAGAAAGGAGGTTTTGGCCTACTATACCACGCTGGCCAGGCGGGTTGATATAGGGTTTTAGTCAGGTTTTCCTTCTTTTTGCAGTGCTGGTGTCCTGTGTTGTTTTTCGCCCTTAGTCGGCTCTTACGACACCCACGGGATGAATTGGGATAGTGACATTCCGTATTCTTAATCCGTCACTACACGGACAACTACTATTATGAATGTGTGATTTTGTGTAAATATTGGTTACCTAATCACGCCTGAACAGCTACAAGGATCTGGTTGAAATGACATTAACACATCGATAGATTAACTATAGCATAGCTGAAATAGCATAATATAGACTACTTTTTAATTCCGTTTTTTTTTTACTAAGTCGACAATCATCATCATCATCAACAGCCTTTACTAGTCCACTGCTGGACATAGGCCTCTCCTTAGGAAGCAATAAGTCGACAATAACGCGATGATAACCGTAGGCAATTTAAAAAAAACTCCGGAATATATCCTGTGTCGCAGGGGACTTTACAAACTCGTGGCGGCCATCGGAGTGGGAGTTCTCTCGCTCGATAGCCTGATTGCGGCTATCGTGCGGAGCGAGAGTGCGTGGAACTCTGCCGTCACCTTCTGCGAGCAAGTTATGCTCGCGAAGGAGACGGCGGAGCGGGACCGGGAGAGGTTTAGAACTCTCCCGGCCCGCCAGGCCCGGGAACGGGCCAGGTACCGCAGGCGACTCAGGCGCCGGAGGTCGCAGAACGACCTCCGTCCTCCATAAGCGCAGGCCTGGGGGTGACAGGTGAGGCCATCTGTCACCCTAGCAGAAGCAGGCCGGGGTGGCGGCAAGCGCGTTGCGAAGCGCGCTCGCTTCCAGGGAGCACCGGGAACATGGGGTTCCCACACGGGGGGGGGTCGTCTACTCGTCTGTAGATGACCCGAGGTATGTCGGGGTACCAGGGACTTCCTTTCTAGGGTATACCTGGTTCCCCGGCTATTAGTACCCGAGACGGCGTGCGGTTTTAGTCGGTTCGAGTCCGACATGCCACCGACAGGTGGTATCCGAGGGATTTCCGCACGGAAAAAAAAAAAGAAAAAAAAAGAAGGGGACTTTACAAACATACTTTGACTGCCTTAGTGGTGCAGTGCTAGCATATGGGACTGTTGTGCTGAGGGCCTAGGGTTCGATTCCATGGCTGGACCAAATATTTATATGATCTGCAAATATTTGTTTCGAAGTTGTTTTCTATGTAAATATGTAAGTATTTACAAAAAAGTATATTAGTGGTCTATCAGTCAATCTAGCTTTCATAGTACAAGCTCTGCTTAGTTTGAAACTAGATGGCGTTGTGTACGAAATTATTATTATACATGAAATTAACACAAAGAACACCCATACTCAGAACAACAATTTATGGATCACACAAAGTGTTGTCCCATGTGGGGATCGAACCCACAACACTCAGCACAGTTAGAAACCAGAGGTGACCGCTTAAACCACTACGCCATCCGTGCAGTCAAGGTGGTTTACAACACGTCGAATTTACCACACCATTTCCTTGCAAGTTCACCTTCACTAGCCATGCACTGCATTCATTAGAACAATTTAAAATTATTTTCATCTTTGCCTGTCTGTTGGTCTAGTGGCCAGCGACGTGGGTACGATTCCCATCCCGGACAAATATTGTGTGATGAATATGATCATTTGTTACGTGTCTGGATGAATTTATCTATATTAAAATAAAAGAAAAATCTCACCACAACAAAACAATTATAAAAACTAAAACAACAACAATTAGAATCAATACTGTGGGAGACTGGTACCTAAGATAGGCTTCTCTCCTGTATTTCAGGTCACCAGCAGAGCTATTCTCTAAGGAAACAGCCTTGCGTACAGCGCTGCAAAAGCTTCGAATTTCAAACTAACTTAGTTTGAAATTTGACTCTGTGGCAGCGCTGTAGCGTCGAATTTCAAATGAACTTAGTTCTTAGAGAATAGCACAGCAGGTCTTCCCCTCTTTAAATTGTCTTAATTGCAACATTGCATTTGTGGATTGTATAGTGTATTTCGAATATGCGTGCGTATTTATATAAGTTTGTGTGTACGTTTGTATGTATGTGTACTACATGTGTATGGGTGTATGTTTGCGTGATTGTGTGTGTTTATGCAAAAATAAAATACTTAAGTCTTTTTTTATGGAAGAGGGGGCAAACGAGCAGTCGGGTCACCTGATGGAAAGCGACTACCGCTGCCCATGAACGCCTGCAACTCAGGAGTCAAAAGCGCGTTGCCGGATTTTGACCCCTGAGTTGAATTTAGTTATGTGTTTAGAACTATATGTAACTATATTTACTAAGAAATATAGACTGACGGCAATTATAGGTTTGCCCTTTATAACGTGAGTGGGACTAAAATTATAGACAAAATAAGGCAATTAATATGCCTCTGTCTACCCCTTCAGGCTTAAAGACGTGAATGAATGTATGTACCTACATGTAATTCTAATCTTAATGTTAATAAATTGAGGATGTCTTTGTACTATGTCCTTGAAATATTCCCACTCCCGAATATTTCGCGCTCTAGAAGCGCACACAGAACACTGTCATGCTTTTCAGGCGTGTATCTGTCTGTACTAGGAATTCCTAAAATCGTCGCCCGCATGCCACTTTCTGAGGTGGTCGGAGATCGACGATCGTCCTCCGGCGCCGTCTGCGGGTATAGAGAGCGGTGCTGCGTTCTCTCCCGTCGTCGGCCCGCTTTTTTTGAGGACATCACCTGAAGTGACGGCGCTCCATCCACACGCTCGCGAGATGCTACCCGCAGAAAAACCATCTCTCATATCAGATTCGTCTCAATTTAATGAAACCCCAAATAATATTTCAAAATACTACTACTTGACAAGTACGTGTCGTAATAAAATACATATAAGTACATAATTATAATAGTTTTATGTCTAATTTAATACACAAACAAGCAGTACCATTGACATTCTTATGTAAATATTGCATAATATTGAGTTGTCAACATGGTTTCTTGTACGTTTGTAGTGTTATTATTCTCTGTCGCAATATTTATCGCAACAGTTGCTGTGAAAGAAAGGGATGCGATATTCCTCTAACAGAGAGGGATTTTCCTGAATGTGCTTTTGTACAGCCCGATATTGTGAATTCAAGTTACTTACAAATATATTCCCGCGAGTACTGAAACAGTGTGTTTTGCCTAACTAAGGAGCTCACTGGGCATGGCTGTTCGGTGAGTTCCTGAATCGGATTGGACGCGAGGATACGCACAATGCTAGCACTGCGTGGTTTTTATTGGAAATGCCATATACTTCTAGCTCCTATATCCCTAAGGAGCCGGAGATCCTAAGGGATTTTCTACGCGGTCAACAAAAAAAAGGTTTCTACGACTACTAGCAGTAACATATGGAACAGTTTTCGACCATTATGAGCATTTCTTCTAGTGCGTACTTTTCTTGATCTCTATAGGAAATAATGATTCTTTTTATTTAAAAGTTTACCATTTAAAGTTTCGAAATAATAGATTTTAAAAACCAAAATATCATCAATACATATAAAATTACTTGCCCCGACTGACTGATTCATCAACGCAGAGTCTAACCCACTGAGGCTATCGACTTGAAATTTTAGCAGCTGATGATTTTTATGTTGTAAGCACCCCCTAAGAACGGATTTGTTGAAATTTCACCCCTAAGAGAGTAAAATAATTGATGAAAGGTGGTACAGAAGTTCGTCATTTTCAAAGTTAGGAAAACTAAATAGGAAGTAATCACGCGAACGAAGTCCAGGGCAATAGCCAGTAGAAAATAAGCAAGCCAAAATACCGAATAAAGCCGAACCGACCACTGAAAAAAGAACAATAGTGCCTATAGTAAAACATAAATAATTAAGGAGAGAAAACCCTGTATTCAAACTTGTTGGTAATGATGACAACAGCTTATTGCCAGGAGTAATATGTCTGTTCTATGTCTATAGCCATTGAACCATAGACATAGAATGGAAATGTAACTCCTTTGCTGGGAAGAGTGCTTCGATAGATCTTTCACACGAGATATCTTTACCTTCTTTAATAATAATTAAAGGTACAAAATAGCGTATGTCCTCTCACTAGATGGACAGTGGGAGTAATATTCGGTCAGAAAGGGTGACCAAAGATTACTCATTAAATTATAAGTATATTAGAAGAACAATCGTGATTTTTTTAAAGGTAATATTTTGTAAAAACGTGGTCCGATGTTGTCGTAATTGATTACCAAAAAATGTTATCTTTTCTCTCTTGTACGGAGAAAGAAAGAAAAGATAGGTCGTGATTTGTCCATAAATGTTCGCCAATTGCAGAAGCTACCAGCAAAGATGCAAAGATATGACAAAAATTTAATTCCTTTTATAAAATGTTTATAATTTTAATATTAAAATTATAATTTAAACCGTTGTGACGTGTGGTGACGGATGAAGAATATGGAGTGTCACCACCTATGTAGGTATTACGTGGGTGTCGTTAGAGCTTCGATCAACAATGTTGCTATTGTTGGGGATAATAGCCCTGCAAAGAGAAGAAAAATTTGACACAAACTCTATTCGTACCTTCTGGTTCTGGCTAGCATGGTATTGTAGGACATTACCTCCGTTCTAAGGAGAGGCCTATGTCCAACAGTGGACTATCAAAGGTTGATGATGGTTGATGATGATAATGATAATTTTAAATGTGGCAAATACACAGTAAAATGGTCTTAAAATATTATAAATATACATTTTGTTTTATTTTGATATTTTCAGATTGCTTCGAGAGAATATCCATCGGTGAGCAACTACCACATGACTCCATCTATCGTAATGTAACAGAACTAACTACGCGTGAATGCGAACAGATTTGTAAGCAAGACAAGCAGTGCCAGAGTTATGACTATGGGTAAGTGAATACAGATGGCGCTTGTGTCCCAATGAAAAAGTGTTGTTTAAAGTACATAGTTAAATAGTACTTTGATTAAATTCGAATCGTAAAACAAATTTTTGAAAAGTCTGAGATATTTATATAATTATTCTTATTTGGCGCTGATATCTATCGAATTTCTCCATATTATTTTTAATGTTCTATTATTCAAGTGCGAAAGTAAATAATAGTTATTATAACGGGTTGCGTATATATTGATAGTAAACTATTGAGTGTAAAATATTGCGTCAAGTTAATCACTTGAGAGCAATAATCCTGGTCACATAAAAATACCCAAGAATCTCGGATACTGAGAATGGTACCTCAGTGAAATAAATTGTATTAAAATTTATAAGACAATTTAATACTCCTTAACGAAATTAGTAATATATATATGTCACTTTGTATGATTTTCATTAAAATTTACTTTGATCAAAAATAACCAATCTTATCTTGAAAAAGCTCAATATTTTTCTACAAAACAATTGTTGAACTCTAATCGTCATTGGAAGGAGGTTTCGTTGTCTCACATCGTATGAGCTCGTCTCATGCGTGCTCCATAAGGACAAAGTCCGACATCGCGCTGGCCACTGACTGACTAACTGAGTCGCAATTTGACCCGGATTCATTGCTGTCGATGTTCATTCATTGGCGCATGACCAGGATTTGCTTAAGTGGTTTTTATTTTCAATCAGTGTTTATATTTATATTGAATTTTAATTATTTTATTCCAGTGTTGGTGCCAAAGGTAATGCGACGTGTGACCTGAGCAAGTCCAGCGAAAAAGAAATAAAAGAGAAGAATTTGCTCAATCGTCATCCTGACTACGACGTTTACGTGCGTCGCTTTCAATGTGAGCAGTCACCACCTTCTCCAATAAAGCCACAATTCGATGATCCAGAAGAACCACCTTCTGACAAACCATCTCACCGCCCAGTCTACAGACCAGTTGAAGAAAAAGTTCCAAACAATGGAGAGTATTCAGGATCTTCAGACTTAGAATCTTATGGAGTCCAAAAACCAGTATACAAGCCTCAGTATGATGAACGACCAGATGACTATACTAATCCAAAACCTGACTATGACTCGGGGCCAAGCTACGGAGCGCATAAACCACAGGATACACCATATAAACCAGAAAAGCCAGTTGAAAAACCATCTCATACTACAAGACCAGATCCTTACGATGTATTGCAGCTTCAAGACCCCTACAGACCAAACGATAGGCCTGGCTATCCTTCCAATGATTATGATAAACCAAACAAAAGACCGTATTTACCAGAAAAACCAGAATATCAATACGTCACCAGACCTAAGCCAAAACCTCAACAAGATAGTGTTTACGTCAACAAACCTGACAATCTTAAGCCTAGTTATGATGAATCCAGTTATTCAGGTCCAAACAGGCCAGTAACTCAAAATCAGTATGCCAATGGCTATGGGCCAAATGTTCCGTATGATAACAATTACATTCATGTTGAAATTAGAGATCCACCCAGGCCTTATGATCGTCCCAGGCCATCCGACCAGGGTATTTATGGTTATGGTACCTACTCAACCAATCATTTCCATGATCAGAGCAGTCATTCCCAATATTATGGAGGTGGAACCCAGAATGGATATGGCTTACTTCCCTCTAAACCTAGTCGCCCGATTAATGTGGCTGATATGCCATATCCAAACTACCTAGATGGGCATTATAACTCAAAACCTTCTTACGATAATAACAAACCCTATGGAGGTAACTATGCCTCATACCAAAATGATTACGGTAGTCAGGCAAATTATGGAAACAGCGCACAGAAACCTTATGGCTCAAGACCTTATGGTGATTATAACAGACCTAGTAATGACCCTTACAATGATTATAAAAGACCTAGTCAGGATAATTATGGTGAACAAGGAAGTTATTATAGCAATCAAAGTACTTATGGTACCAGCCATGATAGTTCTTATGGTACCAGCCATGATAGTTCTTATGGTGGCAGTAAACCGTCATATGAAAACGATACACCCTCATATGGTAGTGTACCAGGTTCTTATGACAGCGGTAAGCCTTCTAACAATAATAAACCATCTTATGGTCAAAATGATCAAAATTCATATGGTAATTACAAACCCTCATACAGTGATGTTAACCCCTCGTATGGAAACGAGAAGCCTTCATATGTGAATGAGAAACCTTCATATGGTAACGATAGACCTTCATATGCTAACGACAACCCTTCTTACAATAATGAGAAACCCGAATATGGCGCTGACAAGCCTTCATACAGCAATGACAAACCTTCTTATGGCAGCGAAACACCTTCTTACGCAGGCATTAACCCTACTGCTAATAATGATCAACCTTTCTATGGTAATGATAAACCATTATATGGCAATGGCAGCAATAAGCCAGGTTACGGAAATAACCGCCCTTCTTACAATAAACCATTACATAATAATGACTCACCATCTTATGAGGCTAACAAACCAACTTACGGTAATGATGAACCGCCATATGGAGGTATTAAACCATCGTATGGGACTAATTTAGCCGAATATGGTTCCAAACCAATATATGGTTCATATGGTACACAGCAAGACTCGTATGATGGAAATCAGTACTACGAAGGTAGTCAGTCATATTACGGTAGTAGTCATCAAAATTACCACAGTTCAAGCGGTTACGGAGGATCCTATGGTGGAAGTCAAACATTACACGGAAGTCAAAATGATTATATTAGGCCGTCATATGCAAGCAACCGGCCATCGTCAGATCAACCAACTTATGGTAGCAGTCGACCACCATCAGATCAACCCTCGTACGGAAGTAGCCGACCATCATTAGATCAACCATCGTACGATAGCAATCGACCATTATCAGATCAACCAACATATGGTAGCAGTCGACCACCATCAGATCAACCTTCCTACGGTAGTAACCGACCATCATCAGATCAACCATCGTACGGTAGCAATCGACCATTATCAGATCAACCAACATATGGTAGCAATCGACCATTATCAGATCAACCAACATATGGTAGCAGTCGACCACCATCAGATCAACCTTCCTACGGTAGTAACCGACCATCATCAGATCAACCATCGTACGGTAGCAATCGACCATTATCAGATCAACCGACATATGGTAGCAACCGACCGTCATCAGATCCACCATCATACGGTAGCAATCGACCATTATCAGAAGAGCATTCGTACGGTAGCAGTCGACCACCATCAGATCAATCTTCCTACGGTAGTAACCGACCATCATCAGATCAACCATCCTACGGTAGCAACCGACCTTTATCAGAAGAGCCATCGTACGGTAGCAACCGGCCGTTATCAGATCCACCAAAATATGGTAACAATCGACCACCACCACATCGACCTTCCTACGGTAGCAACCGGCCGTTATCAGACCAACCTTCCTACGGTAGCAACCGACCATTATCAGAAGAGCCTTCGTATGGTAGCAAGCGGCCGTTATCAGATCAACCAACATATGGCAACAATCGACCACCACTAGACCGACCTTCCTACGGTAGCAACCAGCCGTTATCAGACCAACCTTCCTATGGTAGCAACCGGCCGTTATCAGACCCACCTTCCTACGGTAGCAACCGACCATTATCAGACCAATCTTCCTACGGCGGCAACCGACCGTCATCAGATGAACCATCATACGGCAGCAACTGGCCATCATCAGATCAGCCTTCATACGATAGTAACAGACCTGGCTACGGAGAAAAACCACAGAAGCCTAATCCAATTTATGGAGGAAATGACGACACGAGCTCAAGTTACGGTGGTTCTAATAATAGTCCTGCATACGATGAAAACCGTCCAGATCATATCAGTCCAGATAACACCGGTTTTGGTGACACTGACTCCGGTTACGGCGGTAAATCACCCAATAAAACTGGTGTCAGGCCGGTATATGAGTATGAGTTTGATAAACCAATTAATGCGCCCAGCTATATAGCCAGGCCAGGAGGGCAGGTGGTGACTTCGAAACCAATGGCGATTGGACACTTTGATGATCTAGGTTACTTCAGGAACTCAGATACACCAGCTTCTTATGAGGGTGAGTAATTTCTAAATTTATTTATTTTATTTTAAACTGGCAACCCTGTTTAGGATAGGATGAATATAAATTTAATTATTTGTTCTATTTTTAATTTAATTTATTCATATTTAATTAATTATTTCAATCGTTTATGATAGGATTTATTCTAATTGAATGTATTTAAATTTAGTTTTAATATTGTTAAGGACAGGGTACATTTTGATTTAACTTTTTGAAATTTAATTTCTGATTCAAATTTCTTAAATTACCTTAAATTTAGTTTGTTTTTATTTAATTAATGGTTCCAATTGCGTAGGACAAAGTAAATTTCAACTTAATTTTTAAAAATTTAATTTCTATTTCAAATTTCTTAAATTACCTTAAATTACAATTTAGTTTGTTTACATTTAAGTAATAGTTTCAATTGCGTAGTAAAATTTCAGTTAAATTTATAAATATTTAATAACCGATTCTAATCGTTTATAATAGGATAAATTTTAATTTAAATACACAAACGTTTAATTTAACTTAATGAAGCTATTCACCACGAAGCTATTAGCTTTTACTTACGCGAAATTTACTATTTTCTACCGCCATTAATTTTTTTTTGCCTTTAAAAAGAAAACAGAATTTCGCAGCAGGTGCAGTGGTAGCGTATGCGACTGCTGTTCTGAAGTCTTGGGTTCAATGCCCGGGTCGGGCTAAATGTTTCTAAGATACGAGTAAATGCCATCAAAAACTTTAGCAAAGAAAAAACCAAACTTTTTATCAAAAACGACTTCCTTTTTTTAGATTTAGTGTGGTTTCATAAATTAGTCACAGGTGCGATTATGTTTTAAAAATCATATGATTATATCACACGTGATTGTGATTTTATGCCATCCCTAGTCACTTACTATCAGGTACCTGTCTGTCCGCATGCCCTTTATACTAATAAAATATTTATATAAATTTACCGAAATGACTTGACCCAAAACAAACACGTTACCATGAACAAAATCATGTACATGTTACCATAATAATGACCTTTAGCACTGAACCGTCACCCGCATTGTCTCTTCATAATGTTCTAACATTTAATTATTAGCATCATAATGCACGGTGTCCTGACCTTCCGCTCCCATGGTCGGTGTAGATTTGGTCACTGATTTCGTTACGTTTCGAGGGATTAACGCACCGATTATTAAATTAGACTGTCTGTCTGTAAAATGTATTGACAATGTGTGAAAACTGTAATATCTAGTACATAGTCTTAAAGAGAGATGAGGGTCCGGAGTTAGATTCCAGCTCAAATGCAAGTATATTCTGTGTCCGTCTCACAGTTCTATATAACCTTATTTTAAGTAATCTCATTTGACATATATTACTAAATAAACACATATATATTTCTTAATACTCGTACTTCCATAATTACAGATAAATTACACCCCGATACAGAACAAATGATCGTGCTCATCACACAATTATTTATACTGGGTGATAATCAAACCCTCGACCTCTAGCTTAGAAAGTACAGTAACTAACTACTAGACCAATAGGCCTGTTGTGTCTTTTCTATTCGAGTAAAACGCTCTTGGCTTCCTACTGTTAACCCTTTAGTGGTAAGTGATAGCACTTTCCACCTAAGGGTTAACAGGGTCTACATTGTGCATTTTCTTTGTCAAATATCATGACAATGAGGTATGTTATTAGTTTTAGTCTTCTATGGTTTTAAATTTAGAAATAAAATTAAAACCACTTTATTTGGTTTTGAATTTAGTTGTTATTCTACTGTTTAAGAGGACGAGACTTTTTAAGTGTTTCCTAGAAAGGAAATCCCTGGTACCCTGACGTACCTCGGGCCATCCACGGCGTGTAGATGAGCCCGTTCTGTGTAGGAATCCCCATGTTCCCTTTGTGCTCCCGACAAGGCGCGCGCGCTCCGCAGCACGTTTCGCCGGCACATCGGCCTGCTTTTGTTAGGCCATGGATTCGGCGGAGTTCCACTCACTCTCGTTCCGTACCATGGAGGCAATCATATTACCGAGCAAGAGGACTCCCAGTCCGATGGCCACCACGAGGTCAGGCCTCTCCTCCACCATCGCCGGGCATTCTACGGTCCGGCTACCGCAGTACTGGCACTCAGGCTTTGAATCGCATCAGACACAGATGATCGCCGAAACATCCTTTTCCGATCACTTGCGTCAGCCGGTATGAGAGGATTTCGTGACGCGCTCTCATCTAATAACGTCATGCCCGATATTATTTTGGCCTGTCATATGCGTTACTACGCATATGACAGGACTAGGCAAAAGGATATAAACAAAAAAAAAAGATCAGAATTGAAAAAACGCACCACCGGTGGTTTATCATTAATTATTTTTATCAACCTTAGGTAGCTTAAACAGAACCCTTTGTTTACATGCATACACTAACACCTCATTTTCGTTTAGGGTAGGCAGAGACAGTAGAACGCCATTTGCCATGATCTTGATCACACGCCCCGCCTCGCGCCCATTTCAGTTTCATCAACCTCGCCGGTTCCATAACGGTTACAGGTACTCTTGACGAAACCCTTCTTCAGTAGACTGTCGATCTAGTCTAGTCTAGCTCCATTGCCCAGATGTCACAGTGAACAGTTAAATGACGTCACTATACACAATTTTGCTTAACCTTGAAATTCTCTACGAGCTTCGTTATAAAAAGGGCAGAGAGATAATTCACTTGGTTCCCAGTATCAAAATAAATGGTTTGGCACAAAAACTATGTCATGCATACGTAGGTGTTTATCTGCCGTGATGGTCATTCTGAAGTCAATTGTTATGTCATTATGGACCTTTTTTGATGGTCATTAAATTCTTTTATGCTGTAAGGAATTGGATCACGTCTATATCTCTGAAAGGGAGACAAGCGTATTAAGCGCACTTTAAGGATAAGATAGGAAAACTAGAAGTATTTTTAAGTGAAAGTGGCTAAGAAAAAGAGGCAATGGTGAGAAATGGAAACAAAATTAATAGTGTGGTGTAAGGAATAGCTCGAACAGAACAGGTTCGCGTAGTTGTGACCTGTGTTACTAGAGTATACTTTCTGTTGATGTCCGCGATCACAGAAAGTCTGGATCAGAATCAGAACCCATTCCAAGGACATCATCATTCATCAACAGCCTTTAATAGTTCACTGCTGGACATAAGCCTCTCCTTAGAAAGGAGGTTTTGGCCTACTATACCACGCTGGCCAGACGGGTTGGTATAGGGTTTGTGTCAAGTTTTCCTTCTCTCTGCAGTGCTGTTGTCCTGCGTAGTTTTTTCCCTTAGTCGGCTCTTACGACACCCACGGGATGAATAGGGGTGGTGACACTCTGTATTCTTAATCCGTCACCACACAGACTTCCAAGGACATATGAGAAACATATTTGTTAAAGCGAATTTGATACTAAATGCAACTTTAATTAATTAATTCTTACTATTATTATAGACAGGAAAGTTTGGATGAATGTTTCAGTGTCGCCTCTTTTGTTTCTTTTATTTTCTTACTTACATTATTATGTACAAAATCATTCATTATTTAATTTTATTCACTATCATTCGTTTACGAAAGTTTAACGACAATCCTATTTTAAACTCAAACATCAAAGTAGTTTAAATTCAAAGTGAAGAACTTATCAAAAAGCGATTATAAATAAAACTTTGTTATATGTTTTGTTAGATGTTTAAATTTGTAACGAGGTCTTTCTACATTTAACTTAACCAATCTGACTGTAGGGTCACATTTGCTAAAAATACAAACCAGCCTTATCTGTAAAGTAGGTTTTAAAAGTCTTAGGACAGTGTCAGAGTCAAATTGCGACAAATCTACATTAAACTCAATAATGCGTGACTAAATCTATAAATTTGCTATAAATGAAAAATAAAACGCACCGATTCCATTCTTATGGTTTTGAATAGTTGAGGGTGACCCTGACAGCTGTGTGCAACATATACTCCACAATATATCCCGAAGGTTGTTCCACCAATAAGTTGTACATCATCTCGCTGTCCGCCCCATGAGTTAAGTAAGTTTTTATCCAGTAATGGCCGCATAATGGAAGGTCTAAACAATTTGCCCAAGCCTACTGTTTGCAATTTACTCCAGCGAGTGGTACAGATTATAAGCGGTGTGGAGAACGTCACAAAATCAAATTTGGTAGAATTTCGATTGTATTTTAACGTTATTGAGGTCTTTTTGTCACAGTTTTTTTTTATTCTTTTCACCTTTCTATTCTTTGGTCAATGATCGCATTTTTAATCAAATTTTATCCCACGCCCATCATCGGGTGGCTTGTCATCACGCCCGCGGGTTCGCTCGCGTGATTATTTTTTACGATGATTTTGTTATTTCGTTTTTTTAACATGAGAGGAGAGGCTTATGTCCAGCAGTGGACTATTAAAGGCTGTTGATGATGATGATGATGATGTTTTTTTAACGTTGAAAATGACGAACTTCTTTACAACCGTTTATCTCTTATTTCACCTCCTTAGGGCTGTAATTTCCAAAATCCTTTCTTAGTGAGTGCTTACAATATAAAAAGCATCAGCTACCAATATTATAAATTTATTTGTAGACCCAGCAGTTTAGGCTTTGCGTTCATGAGGCCGTACTTTGGGAACATGAACGATTTGTGTACATGTAACTTTTACAGATATAAGTTTATTTAGAGTGAGCGCAATATGTAACATAGCAAAGAGCGTTTGGGAAGATCCTGTGATCTTAGAGGTTTTGAGACACGGAACATCAACTGGCTTTAAAAGTCATATCATACATACATTTATTAGTAATATCCTGCACCAATGTCTTGGAGCGATACCTCTACTATTCAATTTTTTTTCATTTAATTGCCGCTCTATCTTGTAACTGGAGCCCTGTCCCTAAGATAGTGATCTGATATCAAGATTCTTTGAATCATTGTGTACAAAACTTATTGTTAATGTTATATCATACAACTCCTTTATGTGGCCTTCGCCATTGTCTTTTGTTTTTAAGAAAAAAATCTTAGAAGAACT